CATTTATGTCAATCCGTACAAGGAGGCTAAAATACGTTTGTGTTCAAAGCTAATGGATCTGAAGCGGGGCCAAAAAAACAACATTTTATTAGCTTTCCTTCGATTCGGCTTTTACTTTCGGGACCGTGCTACGGTGACCTGACCTGATAGAATCTATTATGGAAGCAAAAAATGGCAGGAAAGCACTGCCAGAAGCTTTTAATTGTCTCGTGTACATCAGCAAAATATAGGATTGCTAAAATATGCCACCATACAGCACTAATTGCCCATATAAGGACAGCGCGGCGCTTAAAACAGCACGTTTTGTTTGTTACAGTGACCCCGGACCCAGACAGCCATGCTGATGCCGAGTGCACACGGGCACACGAGGGAGAGGTGCAGAGCAGGAACGCAGATTGGGGCTGACCGCTCGGCTGCACTTTAATGTACCCTCTACTTCATCAGTCCTGATTAGCCACCATAAAAATCCAGATTGAACATTACATTTTTACTGCTGATTGTCTTCCAAACACTCTCAGGTGTTGGCATGTTAAATGCCAGGGTGTGCATCTGTCCTCGCATCCCATTAGCTTGCTGCAGTGAGACGTCTGACTTGAAAAAGGGGACCCTCTTCAGAAACGAAAGCAATGCAGAACAAATTTCAGGCTTTTAGGCTTACCGCGTCTTGTGCCAAAACCTCAATAACAAGCCCCCCTCCAGCCCCCGTTTCCCTGGCTCTTGCCCCAGACTTACACAAAGAAACACCAGCTTTATGGACTTAGGGCATTAAAGCATAAAAAACAGCGGACGGAGAACAGGTTCGGAACACATGGCGTCAAACGAGGAGACCCGATCTCATCAGATCGCACAGGCTATACTGTTAAACGCTTCAATTTTTAGGTGCGCGGGCCGTGTTTTCAAAAGGGCACATGAAAGGGCTTAGCGAGAGAGAGAGAGAAGGCCCAAGCAAAAACGCTTTTCTGATGAGCTGCAACAATGCACTCACTCCCACGACATCAGCTCTCTGTTGGGAGTCTCCTCCTAATTTCCTCCATCCATAATAAAAAGAGCTACATTAAACAGTGCCATTAGTGCCAGCAATTTGTTTTATTCTCCACAGAAAGAGAAATGTTATCTGTGGCGGACAAACTTAACCCAATTAAAGCTCATTGTGTATGGGGGCCTTGCTGGGTCTTCAGCTGATGCCTAGGAACGAGGGCAGAGTCAGCCAACATTGGGGAGGGAGAGGGGGAAAAAGAGAACGATTGGAACACGTCTGGAGAATTAGGGAAAGTAGGAGAGAGACAAATGTGCTTTCAGGAAAAAAGACGGGAAGAGAAATTATGTTTTTGTGCATGTTCCCCCCACATCAAATCCCTCCCAAGATGGTTTGATAGAGGAATACTGCACAAAATGTACACTCAAAACGAAAATGCACGGATACACCGGCGCTTACATAAATAGTTGAAGGATTCATGTGAATGTAAAACATTTGCAATAGAATAACAAGGGCAGGAAGTGCATACAAAGCCACACGTTCTGAGACACTCGTTCATACCTTCACATTTTTGCTGTTAATTGTTGTGATAACACCTCTCGATTACAGGGGTTTAATTATCAACATGTTTGGCTGTTAGACCAAGTACCTGGCACAGATCCTGGTGAAGGGCTCAAGGTTTCTAATGAAGATCTCACTCACAGCAGCATACAGGAGCTCAGTGTGGTGCTGTCCTAACAAAGAAGCACATTGCGTTTAGAGACGACCTGGGTGTCTGTGAATTCTAACACAATAATGCCAAGAATATTCATAGTGATACATTTTGATTGATATCCAGTTGTGCGGGAATGGCAAGTGTGTGTCACTATGGGGAAAAAAAGCGATTCTGTGTGATTGCGGAATTACAGTAACAGTGACTGAATCGCATGTCGTGAGACACAAATGAGGCATGTCTGCACTTCCGTTATAGGGCGAAAGCTGGTTTCAGTCCGTTTGACTGGTAATCCTTTCATCTCCTATTGCATTTATCAGCTTTAGTGGAGCTGTTTTTTGCTCGCTTACCCAAAAAAGGCCCAATCAACACCTCCCAGCTGGTGAAATGAAGCAGAACCGGGCCTCCATTACTTTGAGACGTGATGGATACTTCACAGCTGCGGTTGAGTGTCTTTGATCAGAGACTGGAGAGACAAACAGCTGTAAAACATGCCCTACTAAAGACATACACACATTTGCTGACAGTGTGTGCCAATAGGATATACATGCAGACAGTGTATATACATACATACATACATATGAATGTACAGATTCCTACTAAACTACTTTCATTCTCACGCAGGGCCTAATGCTATATGAAATCTTAGCACGTATTTGAAGGAGAATTCTGAGAGGAAAAATACATCCATTTATTGTTTGAGTTGCTCTGAAAAAAAGACAATAAAACTTTAATAAAATAATTATTTTGACATAATTCTCATTTGAGTGCCATTTACTATTCTACCATGAATTGTCTTAGAAATATCTAGTCTTATTTGTATATTTGGTTTGTAATTTAAGTTTAACTTTGTCCTCAAATACAAACATTACGTCGTCTGAATGCAATAATGTCTCGCCCAATTTTAAAGGATGTGCACAAACTAACAAATGCAGATTCTTATTATTATGAAATTGCACTAGGAACAAGTAGCTACACCCAGCAAGCAAGCCTTCGATTTACCTCCCAATGGTTCATTTTGCGTGAGGAAATTATATTTACTGTTATTGAGAGGAAATAAATTCGCGCTAGCAATGTTTCAGAGAGCGAAAACAATATGTAGTGTTCATTTTGTGTTTAAATCGTATTAAATGCTGCATTTCAGTGTATCTTCTTTCACATGAAATATTCAAATAAAATATAACCAAATATAGCCTACTCTGAGAAGAAATTTTCTGTAATATAAAAACAAGCGCTGTTTTGAAGTTTGATATACAGAAGAACCCTAAATTAAACATTTAACTGCTGCATTTAATGTATTTTATGTAGGTCTACAGCGCCATCTAGTGGTTTAAATGACTTTACACGCAGATTAGCCTCGTGTCTTACTGCTTCAGTTTTTTCTCTGTGGTGATTAGTTAACTGTCTTAAATACTGCAAAAACACAATATCAAACACTTATATTAAATAGTAATATTATCGATTCTATTAATCTCCCTTTATTTAAAGGGACAGTTAACCCAGACATGTAAATTCTGCTATAATTTACTTACCCTCATTTTGTTCCCAATTTGTTTGACGTTCTCACGTGAAATGAGATGACAAACAGAGTCACCGTTTACTTAACGCTGATTTTTTCCCGTTTAGTATGGTAACGGCTTTCTGACTATTTATTCAGTTCCACGTAACGTTAATTGTCAGTTGTGGAATTTACTGTTGATTGACTATGGAAGCCATTTTTGCTAAATAAGAAAAAAAAGAGTCACGTTTTGGTAAATCATAATTATGATTTATGACAATCGTATAATATTTCTCATTTCTTTCCCCTTAGATTTCGATTTTTTTTTTCGTTCAACAATTTGTTATAATAATTATTACTTTTTTTCTATTTTATTTAATAAATTATGACTTATCTTTTTTCACTTTTTTTGTGATAATTATGATCTACCAAAGCATGACCTTTCTTTTCTTACGTGGCAGAAATGGGCTTCCATAATTTAATTATACATTTCTGCCCCTCATTAGATTTATGAATTTACCCTACTTTACATATTTTTCCAAAAAAAAATATTTCATTCTCATGTCATGTCTTATGTGGGCTAGTAGAAAACTCTTGGTGTCGGGATCAAGGGGAGTCTATCATTATCTATCAATTGTTCAAAGGAGTTCATGAAAGAAGAGTTAATTACATGCCCTCTTAGTTACATCACCCACTTGAAGACAAACACAAGGATTGTGATAAAGTTTTCAACCATACTATTCATAATACTGAGGAAATTATCAGGTTGTTTCAATGTCATATTTAAGTCAGGTCTGTTTCTATGTATGTTTGTTAAATAAATAATTCACCAAAAAACAATCATTATTTACTCCCCCTCATGTTGTTCGAAATTGTTATGAAATCTATATTTCTTTCTTCAGTGGAACACAAAAGGTTAATTTTATAGGTTAATAATATCTTGGCCATTTTTTTTAAATAAGGAAAGTAAAAGGGGCTATCAAGTTCCACAATAAAAAATAAAGAAACACCATAAAAGAAAAGTATTACAAATGTGGTCCGTACGACATGTACACTAAGTTTTCTGTGCATATGTGAAAAATGTACGTAGAATTGACAATTCTTTTGAGATCTTTTCAATTCAATCATCAATTGAACTAGTTAAAACAATTGGTCTAAATGATTTGTTCCTGCACGTTACATAACATTATCCCTACTGTCAAGCATGGTGATGGCAGCATCTTGCTCTGGTGTTTCTAAGCAAGAGAAACAAAAAAGATTGAGCCAAAATCCACAAGGGGTGCCTGTATCAGTCAGCCAAAGACCTGTTCAGAGCAGCGACCCCTTTGTTCCAGTAGAACAATGTTCCAAAGAATAAATGACTTCAGTCTAATAAAAAATATGTGGCATGACCTGAAAATTGCAGTCAGATGGCACAATTGATTTAGAAATTGGAGTGCATTTGTACTGAGAAACGTGGAATTGAATGGAATTTTTGACCAGTCAAAATTTACATGATCAGGCCGAAAATAAATTTAAAAAAAATCTTAAAAACAAAAACAATGTATTACAAAATATATATTCTCATCTCTTAAGATACAAAACAATATCTTCTTAAAAAAAAATCATGCAGTAAATGGTTAAGAATTTTTTTAATGAACAATTTTTATGCTTTTTATAATTATTTTAAAAAATTATTTTAGTCAAAAATCATCTACCATTCATCTAAATTCTAAATAGCCTTATATCACTGCCTCATACCAAAAATTGTATTTGAAATACATCCAATCATTGTACAGAGAATAGAACTGTTAAACACATTCTGAAAACTCAACTTATGTCACTGAAATATTTCAGATTTATTCTAAGAAATTAGTTTACACCGGTGGAAATAAAGAGAACACCACTGTGGCTTTTTCCATATCGGTACATCTTTAAACATCTCATGGGATCCTAAAAGAAACACAAAAGGCAAGTCCCTAAAATAAAAAAATGAAACAAGTCCAAAATGTAATGACTGTCCCCACGTGACAACATTGGCCTGTGATTTAATCGGGTGTCCTGAGAGAATCAAGGTAGCAGGCGTCGTGGCGGCCGCGGACCTAAACCTGGTAAAAAAAAAAAAAAGGAACCAAAAGAAAAGAAAAATCAGAGACAGATCCTTCCACACCAATAGTGCTCTAAAAAGACTTGAGAACATGAGAAAGTGCTGACCTGTTGGGGCTCCCATATGAAGGCTCCTGAGTGAAGGTGGCGGTACTCTAGGACCATGGGGTCCATTCTGCGGTGGGGGTCCACAGATAAGAGGCGTCTTTAGCAATGCATGAGAGCCCGGATGCTGCAATAGTCCTCTAGAGGACTGGAAACCAAGAGGCGGAGTGTCAAGCAAAGGGGCACGGGTGGGAGAGGGCCAATGTATAGGTGCTGGGCCTAAGAGAGGTTGTGGCTTGTCAAGACTGTGAGTGGCTACTGGCCCTCTAGATGGCTGAAGATTAAATGAAGGACCGTGAGAGACTGAAGGGGCCCGAGAAGGTAAAAGACTATGGGGGGCAGTTGGTCTGTGGGAAGGTGGCTTTAGATTATGCATTGAAAGCAAAGGAGGTGGTTTTGTTTTAGGATATGAGCCTGGAAACACAGAGAATACTGTATTCAAATACCACACAAAAAGGTACAACAAATCAATGTATGATTTTTTATTTTAAGTAAGAAACATTTCTTTTTCCATTTAGCACTTTATATCATCCTGTGCCCTAAAAACAAACCTTGCAATCCCATGTGATGTCCTGGGGGTGCATCTCCTGACCCCGAGGGTGGGTTTGTCTGCTCTCGTGGTGGTGGACCAGAACCAGCAGGCAGAAGTGGTGGAGGCTTTCCTAACCCTGGAGGCAGGCTGTTGATCACAGGAGCAACCTCACTGTCAACTTCAGCGGAAGATACTGAGGAAGAAAGGAACAAATAATCAATAAAGAGATGTTTCTATACAGAAATAAGAACAATGCATACACAATGCAATTGTATAGATTGGCTGTGATTATTATAATAATTATTTAATAATTTAAGTCAAATATTTATAAAAACTAGAAGAAATTAGAAAAAATTGTTGTGCTCTAAAATTGACAAAAACAATCCGTTTTCTTCAGATGCGTGGAGCCAAGGGAATATGGAAAACGAAACGAGCAAGAAATATTCTTGCAAGTCAAATATTTATAATTATACATTATTTAAAATATAAAATGTATTATATAAATAATTCATAATTTAAATGTTTTATATATATATTTATATACACTGTATATATATATATATATAATACAATTTGATTAATTTAATATACAAGTTAGACAAATTATAATAACAATAAGACAAAATGAAATTAATAAGACTATAAGTAAATTAATTATATAAATACAATTATTTACATGCAATTTTTTTTTTTTTTTATATTCATATTTTAAATAAAGTGCTAGTGACAGACCGATATACCATCATTGACGGTCCATGCTTGGTGGATTAACAGAAATGCTTCAAAACCTCCAGAGTAAATATTCTACATTTAAAAAAGAAATCAAATGGAATAAATTGTGTATAATTATAAATTAAAATGTGCATTGAATTTGATCATTCATAAATACATCTAGTTTAAGGAAATTCAATTATAATGTGCAAATTAAGAGCAACATGAGAATTACACACTTATAAAGACAACACAATATGAATATGAATGTAACTAGGCCAGGACATGGAAGCATGTTCACCTCGCAGATGGTCCTGGCGGTTTTGAAGATACTCCGCCAGTGTGCTGAGCTCCTCTGGGTACAGGTGCAGACCTTCGGCCAGGAGAAAGAGCAGGTGGCGGGTGGCAGAGGGAACAGTGTGGCGCTCCAGCTTGCCACGCTCCAGGTAGTCCTCCGTCAGCTCAGCCGCCCGAGCCGCGGTCTCCGTGGGGTCCAGCACACGCCGCGAACCGCTCAAGCGCCTGAACTCCACCATCACAAACTCCATGGCTTGTTCTTTGGGCATGTTTCGATGGACTGCAGAGAGGCAGAGGAAGGGTCAGCCAGAGGAGGGAGGGGGGTTACATATGGCGCTCAGTGTGAGCCGCTGCAGTCTAAGCAGTGCGCACAAGAGTTCTACCTCATCAGCAACATGCTGCAGTCTGGCAACCACTGCTTAACCCAATTACCACATTCAAATTCAGTATGCACTCAAAGGACACGTTCATGAGCACGCTTGTAAGTTTTTAGTAAGGGACATTTAACAGATTAGAAGTTTATATAATAAGATTGCTTTGAAAAGTTGTTTTGGACCAAATGTACTGTGTGTAATATGAGGAAGCAATGTGCATGAGATAAATCTTTTAGACTTTTGATAATTGGTCTTGTTCACAATGTCATTCAGCTTTGACAATCAGCAATAACGAATTCCTTCACTGGGAAAATTCGACAATTCAGTTCACGCGTTTAAAAGGATGGATCTGCACTTTAATAGATTCACTATTGAAGTGAGGGTAAGCTGGAATGCACTACATTGACCGTTTTTTTTAAGCCCATTCGGAGGATGTCAAACATGTTTGATATTTTGAGCAGGTTTTAGAACACATTGTTTTTATTTGTCATACATGTTCTGTTGTGTTCGAAACGACTTGTAAGTCTGGTAGTGTGTGATCCTCAGTTGTTTAGTTTTTCTCTGTAAGTTGGTAGGTGTATGATGCCTAGAGTTTCAAAATGTGTTAAAAAAAATGTGTATACCAGCCTTCAGAGAACTTACCAGCAAGGTGAGGTTTTATAGAAATAAAAATAAAAAACATTAATAATAAAAATAATATTAAACATCTGAAATACATTATATATTATTAACAGTGTTTTTTAAATCAAGTGGTGGGCATTAATTATAATATCAGAATTAAGGGCATTTCATCTATTTTAATGTGATGTTATTGTTTAGATGTTTTTTTTACATATGCGTGTCTACATTGATGAATTATTGCTTGGTTTTAATGGTGCAATTTAAACATTTAAAAACTGTTGATTGGTAAAATATTTGTACCCAAACCTGTTATAATAATGTCATTTTTTTGGAAAGAATGTATGCTTAACTTATTTGGACCATTCACAATTATCTTATGAATTATGTTTGTGAAAAAAAATGTAAAACCGGGGCAAAACTACAAGCTATTGTATTTGGAGGATTGTGAATATTTTTTTTCTTAAAAACAAAGGACATAAAAAAAAAAAACTTTAGAGGGGAATCAGTTATTGAGGTTATTAAAAAAAAGAAAAGAAAAATGTTTTTCCATAACTATTTTAAAACAAAGCATGTTTCTAGTCTAAGATCCGGTTTGTGTGTTTGCAATTTAGTTTTTTTCAACTGCCACAAGATACACAAACAGCTTTTTTTTGTAAAGTTTGCATTGCATTGAGATGACATTGACACATTTTGCAGTTCATATAAATGAATTATCTTTTTGGGCTGTTCTGAAAGTTACAGTATATTTTTAGAATATATCAATGCATGTTTTTTTGGTGCAATCACAGGAGTAAATGATCATACTAGTTCATACTAAAAAAAATGCCCACCACCAAGTCCAGGGTATTTTCTCTGTAGCTATTATATAATGTTATTTAACTATTGTTTGAAGTACATTTAAGTGGATTTATTGGGAGATAAATTGTGGGAGTCAGGACTTACTTTTGAGGGACTCTGAAAATATGATTACTGTGCACGAGGAGAGTGTTACATTAGTCTGCTCGACGAGAATACATAAGGGGGAACCGTCGGAGCGGACATCTTGGAGGGCCCGGGTCAGGCCTGATTCCACCTGCAGGTAAAGCATTTCCACCGAGAGGCCACGTTCCTGCAAACACTGGCCTATCGATTTGGGGTAATCCCTTTGAAAGAAGAAGAAGAGATCTGGTTATTGAGAACCATGCTTCAGGGCATGACGTGAGGAAATGTGAGGTTGTTGAGTGTGGCCTGGCTTATATATACAGTAATGAAAGGATAGAGATTTAATGAATAATGAATAAACCAACACAAATCTGCTTAGCATTATTAAAGTATATTAAACATTAGGTTGTTTCATTTGTTTTAGCTGAATAAATGCTTTTGTGTGTGGCATTAGTCTTCTTTGAGAGAAATAAATCCCAAAAGACATCAAAAATAAGTGAAAACTGTTTAAATATTAACTAAAAAGTAAGTTACATCATAATATCATCATTTAACACACATTTACACAACTAAATGACCAATATAGTGTTCAAATATTGTAAAACTGATTTGATTCAAATTTGAAATACTTCTATCGACACATTTATGACAAGAAATATTAATCAGATCACTTAAATGGGACTGTCTATTTTGTGTCAATAATTGTCTATTATTAAAAACAGAAATCTGCATTTTATGTAATGTAAATTAAAAACCTCCATGTTTAAAGATGTATTTTCCCTTTCGTTAGTAGAACGTTTGAGTTTTTGTCTAATTACTTGATATAAATATGGCTTGATTACTGAATATTTTGAATATCACCACTTCTCAAAGAGGCTCCATTGTATTTTGTTAAATGAACAAGGATTGTCTGGACATATTTATTCTTTCATAAAAAAATGTGAAAGTTTGTTTAGGAGACTGAAAATGTACACGAATAAATCAGTCATATGCAAATAAAAACAAATTATCCCTGCTATATATATCCTTTTTTTAAAGAGAATATTTTAAATGTTTTAAACTTTTTATTATTACCCTCTTTTAGAAATGTGAAATAGAACATTTAGATCTTCCGATCTCTACAGTTTTTAGGGCAGGGCTCTAAAGACTCCCTTAGCCTTTCATTTTAAATTGAATGCAACACATGACGCAGTGGTACCATAAAATGATGCAAGGTTTGTACCACCATGTGTTTCCGCAGCTTTGAGATTAGGATTCAGAAGTCATGCATTTAAATTTGTTTGTTGGGGGGTTGGTTGCTTGTTTTTGATTTTTTGTGAGACCACAGGGTGTAAACATTTGTGTTTGATTTGCTGGATAAATATAATTTACACAACATACAAATCCATTTTTAAACTTTTTTATTTATTATTAAATTAACCTCTTTTTGGAGACAGTTTGGCAAAATATTATGCTCAAAGGTTTCATTTTAAGCTCAAAGATTTTCATTTATTATCTTTTTTGTTTGTTTTTTTGTCCACTGGAAAAGCAGTGTAAAATAGTTATATTAGTGGATTTTTTTATTTATTAATTTATAAGGATTATAAGGAGACTGAAAGTGAATTGTAAAGAAAAAGGGTGTTCACACTTGGCATGTTTGGGTCGATTAAAACGTACCCTGGTGCGATTGCTCTGTTAGTGCCGTACATTTGCGGTACCATCCGAACCCTGGTGCGCACCAAACAAGCAGACCGAGACCGCTGAAAAGATGGGTCTCGATCCGCTTGCAAACGAACTCTGGTGTAGTTCGAATAAAATATGAACGCAACACAGACCAGACATGTAAACAGACCAAAAATGGGACATGATGTCACAAGCTGCGACCCTAAAAAGGACAGAATGCTCACGCACACCTGTTTTTTCTCGTCATAGTCGCGATGTTGCCCATCACAGTTCAGAACAGGCATCAGAACAGTGTCTTCTCGCAGCAGATCGTTTATGTGTGTGACGGAGGGATTCCTGCCGCTGTTTTGACTCCTTTACACATTTTACAAGCTCTTCACGAGTTCTCAGCTGGTCAAAATACCATCATATGTAGCTACACACATACAACAAGCGGATTTATTCCAGCACACAACATTGTTTTGGATTTTCATTAAGCTCCGTCGGAAAATATAAGTAATAAACGCCGACCAATCAGGTTGTGAACATATCCCTATGTCTTTAGGTTCTGTGTTAAAAATGCCAATCTGAACGCTAAGCGGACCAGGACTAAATGTTCTCTTTTTTTTGGTCCGGACAAAACGAACCGAACTACAAGTGTGAACACACCCTAAGAAGCAGAGACATCTGTTAAATAGTGGACACATTTTTGCCTAATTATGAACATTTAGAATACTAGTTTTTCAAGGCATATTTAATTTTCATTTAATTTCTCATAAATGATTTAAATAATAGCATATCCGGCAGAATTCAAGGATGGCTCCTGATACAAATCTTAATCCTGACAAATCCGACCTGTCTAACATCTGACAATAACTAAGACCATTCACACAACAGAGACTTTTCAGAAAACTAAAATTGCACAAAATGGGTAAACATGTCCCATATTTTCATGTGCCAACTCTGGAAAAAAGTTTGAAAATTGTATTTCCATTTAATACATAAAAGAAGCAAATTTCACACAATAATAATGCAAGAGAATTTTACTGCTACTTGAGGTATATACTCACACATTCTGGTTATTCACAGACAGGACGACACAGTCTGCAGGCTGTCTAGCAGCATCTCCATGTAGCTGCTGCAAGAACTTCTCATATATGGCAGTGCGTTGAATTGATGCCTCGTATTCCTCAGGTGAAACAGCTGATACAAACAAAGATGCTCAGAAAAGATTTTCCACAACAGAAACAACAGTAGCAGTGAGAAATCAAGTTCTTTATTGAAAAACCATTATATGAAAAATAATACCCGTTGACTGATGCGGTGAATGCTCATAGTCTGCTGTGCCAGAGTAGTCAATCCCTTCTTCTAAGCTTTCAAAGCTGAAAATTGAGGTATGATTGGGAGGGAAAGGTGTTTAGATGGAGATCAGAACAGTAATGAATCGCTCACAAAGAAGTAAATGTATATTTGGGAGAAACAGATATGTGAAAGAAGAATCTATATAAGGGATTTATAGACTTTACAAATAACACTAATGACACTATTTTAGTCACCTCTCAGATTGTGGAAGGTCATCTTTTCTGTCCTCCCTCATAGGATATGGTGGTCTTCGAAAAGATCTGAGAGGTTTTGGGACACAGCATGTAGTAAGTCACCATGATTATAATTAACATACCATCAAAAATGTAAACCGTAGGCTGTGTGTTAAAACCTAGAGAGTTGCCAAGCTAGACAGCACTTAAAAAAATTATATTAACGCTTTAAATGTTGCGAACATAGTCAAAGAATAGCCCAGAAGGAGGCAACTCTCAGTGTTTTGAAACAAAGCCTCTAAGTTACTCACATACCTTCCTCCACTATGTTTTGGTGGTGGTCTTCTGCCCCCAGCTTTCTGCGCCCACGCCGACATTTGGTTTCTTCTAAATGAATTGCAGTTGATAAATCTAAATTTACATAATATCGCGCGCGCAAGACACAATTGAGTTTTGGTTGCACAGCAAATCCTGCAACTACTCAACTATTATTTTAATCAAACAACCATGTCTATGCTCTTCAGTTAAAATAACGTCTAATACGTGTGATATTTGTCAAACTATTGTTATGAAAGCAATGAATTGTTGTGTAGCCCATTTTACCTGCGTAACGTTAGATCTTCGGTTATATTCCTGCTGGTTTATATCGCGATAAATTGATTAATGTGTCATCTCTGCCCGAGATCAGTAAATACTAAGATTATTTTTAGATGCAAATAGTGTATAACAGAGATGAATCCGAATCACTGCTCAGGGATAGCGCCAAAGGACCTACAACACACTCGATCTGACTTCCTTTCGATGAACAAGTGTATTTGAGGAAGCGTGTGCCGCCTCCTATCGGACAGGCAGACAAACGACGAGACCAATGACGTCACTAAACTGCCCAAGTACAGCTCGCTGCATCCTGCGGCGGACTTTAAAAAATATATATATTTTTTTATACATCTTTATTAAATCTTAACGATACAAACAGTAAGACACACAAATAGAGTCAATAATACAGAAAACACAATATTAGACAAGACAAGAACAGAGCCTTCAAATAAATACATTAAAGATAGATAGAGCATAACTGAATGGTTTTAGCAGCCTTGCTATTTTTTTAATCATAGATGGATTTGATGTACTGTTCCGCCTCCTTACCAAAAGCAATAAAGGAAGGTTTAGAATTACTAAATTTGGCTTTGTGAATATGATATTTTCCTAAAATGATCAATAGATTAATTAGGTAACCTATATTTCTTTATTTGTCAAGATGGAGACCAAACAGCACTGCACATCCCTCCATAACAAAGAAAAATCAGCGATAAGTTTAACAGTAATGTATCGGGACAGATCTTTCCAGAAACTGATGGTGTGGGACATTGCCAGAACAGGTGTACCATTGTTTCTGGACATACTCCACATAAAGAACAGTTAACACATATGTCAAGCTTAAACCTTATGAGATATTGCTTAGCAGAATACCTATGTATCATTTTGAAAGAGATTTCTCATACTTTATTCGTAAGGAGGTATTTGTAAGGAAGGTTCCATATTCCCCCAATTCAGGTTATCAACAAAGTTTGGCCAATAGGGAACAACATTAGGGGTGCAGGTGACATCTCTCTGGAATAAAGAACTAATATACTTATTAATCCTCGTTGTGGTTGCGAAACATATATTACCAACTGAGGTTAACTTAGGGTCCAAAGCTGGTAGGCAATCTGGTTTTCCAGTCCATTTTAAGAGAGTTAAAACCAGATGGGATGGCATCCATAACAATTGCAAACTCTCTTGGGGTGATTGGAATGCCAGAAGTGTGAAGGAATTCAGAATAATTCAGCAATGATCCATTATCGTTTAATAGTTGGGATAGAAATATGTTACTATTGAACTAAGTTTTATAAAATAAGGATTTATTCTTGAATTTAATAAGCCGATTATTCCAGATGAAGCACCTATGTGGGGAGAAATTATGTTTGTAGATTAATGACCATGCTAAGAGCATTTGTTTATGGAATTTAGATAAAATTAAGGGATTTTTTTCTATTTTATAATCACATAAAAGTAAAAATTCTAGACCACCAACCTTAGAAAAAATATAGTTAGGTGTAAAATTCCATGTAGATGTTAGCCTGGGTTTCCCCATACTACCTTGCCGGCGCCGCAGCGCGATTTTATTCATGCTGCTAGGTAGTCTGGATTAGCCTGACTATGTCAGACTTCGTACTTCAGCTCAATTTCATTTCGCTTCTGTACTTATGTCGCGTTCCAGGCAACCTGTTACCCGTGTTTTTCCAACCTTATACCCGTGAAAGTGCACTGGAACGGCAGTCAAACCTGTGACTTCCCACCCGTGAACTCGTACTAGATCGATGTACTCCCAGTTACGAGCTCTGACGTCACATAGCCCGCGAAAATATACAAAACAACAATGGTTTGTTTACATCTAGCTACCACAATTCCTTGCGCTCAGGTAGTTTCGCGTGACTGGCCTGGAGTGCGACAAAGTCGTGAGTTGTGGTTTGAAGTCGTGATTTACGTGCTCAAAAACCTGCCTGGAACGCAGCATTAGTCTGAGACATCGACATGTCTCTCAGTTTTCCTCCGGCCTGAAAATGTCTCCGGTTACTTTCGTAACCTCGGTTCCCTGAGAGGCAGGAAACGAGACATTACGTCGTGTGACGTATATGGGAACTCCTCCACTTCTGCTGAAATCTTATGGGCTAACGCCAGCTGACACAGCTGGCCAATTGACGCAAAGTATGCAAATACTGTCAAGCCCTCTGGCAATATAAAATGCATGCGCGCGACAATTGCATCAGAATCACGACTGAACGCTAGAAACTGAACAAGCGAGCACGGTGGCCGACGTAATGTCTTGTTTCCTGCCTCTCAGGGAACCGAGGTTACGAAAGTAACCGGAGACGTTCCCTTTCAAGGCAGTCACATCAACATTACGTTGTGTGACGTATAAGGGAACTGTATAAAATCCCGCCGTGGAAGCAGTGAAGCCCTCCCACTCGAGACTGACAGAACCCACAGCCAATAGCCGCGCTGCTAGGAATACAAGTATCTGATAGGCTGAAGCGGGCCCATAGCGCGCCATCTAAACCTTGTCAAAATTTGCATATCCCAAAGCAATGAACTAGAGGAAGGCTGCACTGAAGGCTCAGGGCAACACAACTCAAGCAATGTAAACACAGTATCAACAGCACAGCGGTGACAACTGCATAAACATAATACAGTGCCATAACCACAGCGGGACAGGCTCACAAAGAACCATAACAGAGTTAGCTATAAAAGGGTAACTACTGTAATCTTATAATGAGAAAAACTTAACTCACCGAAAGCACTCGCGACGCCACAGAGGGTACATCCAACTTATAAAACCTGGCGAAATTATTCTGCGAAGACCAGCCAGCAGTAAGACACAAGTCCTGTATAGACATACCTCTAGACCAGGCCCACCACGAGGCGATCGCTCTCATCAAATGAGCCCTGATGCTAAGGGGACAAGGCTTCCCTTGGCAATCATAAGCCAGAGTAATAGCATCCACAATCCAGTGAGCTAGCCTCTGCTTCGAAACCCCACGTCCCTTGTTACATCCACCAAACCACACAAACAGCTGGTCCGACCGGCGAAGGGCGGCCAAGCGATTCACATACATCCGCAAAGCCCTGACGGGGCAAACAGAACTCTGAGCATCAGCGTCATGCGAGGCTGACGGCTCAGCAGATAAGTCGGACAGGGAAACAACCTGTGCTCTGAACAGAGTATTGAGGGACTTCGGGACGTAGCCTGGTCTCGGTCGAAGAATGACGCTGCAGTCGCCCGGTCCAAAACAAATGCAGTCGTCGCTTACCGAGAACGCCTGCAGGTCACCAACGCGCTTCGCTGAAGCGAGGGCGAGAAGTAAAGCAGTCTTCAGTGAAAGCTCCTTAATCGCGATCGAGGTCAGCAGCTCGAACGGAGGAAGAGACAGAGCCCTCAAAACCAGGGCTAAATCCCATTGCGGCACAGAAGGTGGCCGTGAAGGGCATAATCTCCTGGCTCCCCTAAAAAAAAACTGATCACCAGAGGGTGTTTACCGATCGACTGTCCGTCGGCCAGGGAGTGAAACGCGGCAATAGCGGCCACATACACCTTCAGCGTAGACGGCAAACTCCCATTATCCATCCTGTGCTGAAGAAAGCGTAGAACATCCGACACGGAACAGGTATCCGGGTCGATACCGACATCCTGGCACCATTTCGAGAAAACTCCCCATTTCGAAGCGCAGAGAAGCCTGGTAGACGGCGCGCGCCCCTCCGAAATAGTGCTCAGCACTCGCGAATGCAGGGCTTCCCTCTCATTCAGGGTCCCCGCAGCGGCCACACATGAAGGTTCCACAACTCGGGGCTGGGGTGCCATATCGTGCCGTTCGCTTGAGATAGTAGGTCTCTCCTGAGGGGAATTTGCCACGGGGAGCCCACCAAAATTTCCCTCATGTCCGCGAACCAGGGCTGGTTCGGCCAGTTCGGGGCTACGAGGATCACAGATGCCTTCTCCTCCCTGATTTTGCATAACACCGCAGACAGAATCTTCACTGGAGGAAAGGCATAAAGCCTGGTTTTTGGCCAGCGCGAAGTCAGAGCATCCCCCGCCAGAGGGGAGCGAAACAGCGAGAAGAACGCCTGACAGTGTGTGTTCTGCCCTCCCGAATCGATCCCAAATCATTTGAACCGAGCCAGGGTGAAGCCTCCACTCTCCTTGAGGAATCCCGTTCCACGATAGCATATCCGCCCCACGGTTCAGGACACCGGGAATATGCGCTGCTCTTATGGAGAGAAAATGCCGGTCTGCCCACAGCAGGAGATTCGCCGCCTGCTCGAAAAGGGCTCTGGAGTGCACGCCGCCTTGGCGATTTATGTACGAGACCACAGACGTGTTGTCGGTTCGAATCAGTACATGCTGCTCCAACCGAGACTGAAAAGCTTCGAGGGCTAGAGACACCGCCTCCAACCCCCAGGCGGTTTAAATGCCACTTCCTCTGCGGCTCTGCCCACAGAGCTGAGGCCGGAATGCCCATGCATACCGCTCCCCAGCCTGAGGTTGACGCATCCGTCAAGACCGCTGTGCGTCGCGTCACGATACCCATAGGAACTCCTGAACTGAATAACTCCGGGTTTTTCCACGGTACCAGAGTGCGGGCGCAACTGTGGGTAACCGTGATGTGCTTGTGGCCGGAAGACCACGGCCTTGGAGGAACTCGAGTTTTCAGCCAGAACTGCAGCGGTCACATATGCAGCAGACCCAGATGACACACTGATGCTCCCGTTCGTCCGGGGGGACCAGTTCTATCGCCCCTTTTTCGAGCAAACTGCGACCTTCCTGTCTCAGAACGGGGGCGTTTTGGGGCAAAGTTAATGACGGGACCACGCCGTTGAAGCGGGGTGGTCTGCGTCTGAACTGAAGCGAATACCCGTGTCGAATTATGCCCAGCACCCATGGTGAAATCCCCAGAATAGTTTCCCATGCGCCCAGAAAGTGACTTAGTGGGCGCGCAAATTCCGCGGTCATCATAGCTAACGGCGCGGTGCTTACACTGGATAGCTGATAGCTCTGGCGGGAGTGCGGCTCGCGGTGGGCTGTGTGTGGTGTTTGACATCTCGCGCCCACGAGATGCCATTATAGTTATTGACTGTGACTGCGCTGCCATCTTTGGAGCCATCTTTGGAAAACAGTCTCAACTAATCAAACCACGAACGACGTGCTAAGTGAGCTGAACTGTATGAAGTTCAGTGAACTTCTGAACTGTATGAATGGCGTTCGTGGTGGTTTGA